GGCGCCTGTAGTCCCAGCTACTCAGGAGGCTGAGGCAGGAGAATTTCTTGAACCCAGGATTCAAGCCTAGGTCTCTGTGACCCTAAAGCTTCCCTTAGTAGTAGTAACACTTAGTCATTGGTTTGTCAGTGATCAACGCTGATTGCTAAGATCATGAATTTGGCGTTGATCATGAGCCAAGCACTGTGCTGAGCATCTGTATATGTTATGCCACGTAATTCTCACAAAAAGCCTAGAAGGCTGATGCTAGCATAGCACCCATTTTAAAGATGAGAAGACTGAGGGAATGGTTAGAGAGGCCAGAAGCAGCACAAGCAGGCACTTGAATCTGAGTCCCACAGACTTCTGACTCATGATCACGTCCTATGCCAGCTGCCCTGAAGGTGGCTGCAGGGACCCTGGCATTGGGGCAGGAATCTAGTCCCTGGTGCAGCCTCCTTTCCTGCTCTCCTTCCAGGCTCAAGGGAAAAATCCATGAGACCAACCTCACGTATGAAGACTTCCCGACTTCCAAGTACACAGGCCCCCTGCAGTACACCATCTGGAAGTCCTTGTTCCAGGACATCCACCCAGGTAAGGCGTGGGTTATCATGGTCCCAGCGCAGCCCAGCCCTCTGTCCTAAACACAGCATGGGGCAGTTGTGTTTACCTCCCTGATCTTGTCCATGAGCAGAGTGCCTTGTGGAGCACCTAGTGTGTTCTGGGACCTGTCCTGGGCACCTGCACAATCACTCAGCTCAGTGAACCTTCGTAAAACTCCATGAGATGGCCGGGCGTGGTGGCTCACGCCTGTAATCCCAGCACTTTGGGAGGCTGAGGTAGGTGGATCATGAGGTCAGGAGTTTGAGACCAGCCTGGTCAACATGGTGAAACCCTGTCTCTACTAAAAATACAAAAATTAGCTGGGTGTGGTGGCACACACCTGTAATCCCAGCTACTCGAGAGGCTGAGGCTGGAGAATCGCCTGAACCCAGGAGGCAGAGGTTGCAGTGAGCCGAGATCACACCATTGCACTCCAGCCTGGGTGACAAGAGCAAAACTCCATCTCAAAAAAATAATAATAAAAGTAAAAAAAAAAATAATAAAGACTTCACTATGTCCCTGAGAGAATATCTTCACCCTGCCCCCTAGCCCTCACTCCAGCTCCCTCATCCCTCCTACCCCCAAGCCAGAAACCTGGGCATTATCCCCAGCTCCTTTCTCTTCTGTACCCCTCTAGCCAACACAGCAGAGTCAAAGAGGCTGCCCTCTAGATGTTTCTCAAACCGTGTTCCTCACCATTGCTGCTGCTCCTCTAGTTCAAGCCTCATTTTCTCACCTGGGCCATTTCATTAGCTATTTAATGGACCACATAGAACATGCCCATCCTTTCCTACCACCATGCCTTTGCATGCGACATTCCCCCTACTACGTGTGCCCTTTCCCACCCTTTCCTCTCTACGTGTCAAGGCTCTCAATTTCCTCCTCTCACCCAGAGATCACTCCATCTGCTCCCCGAGCCATAACCCCTGACGACTGTCCCCCACAGTCTTCCACCAAGAGCCTGCGGACCACTATCGGTGAGGCCTTTGAGCGGCTGCACCGGCTGCTGCGCGAGCGCCAGAAGGCCATGCTGGAGGAGCTGGAGGCAGACACGGCCCGCACACTGACTGACATCGAGCAGAAAGTCCAGCGCTACAGCCAGCAGCTGCGCAAGGTGCAGGAGGGAGCCCAGATCCTGCAGGAGCGGCTGGCCGAAACCGACCGGCACACCTTCCTGGCCGGGGTGGCCTCACTGTCCGAGCGGTAAGTGCCACCTGCCAGGGGCCCTCCCCGGCTGACCGTCCCCTCCTCAACCCATGCTGGGCAATGGGAGTGGAGGCAGGTGGAATCCTTAGCAGAGAATTCTTTCATTCAAATCTTCATCAAACATTTATGGGACGTCTGCTATGGGTAGGAGCATGAAGCCTTGAGTATGAAGCCAATGAGGCTTGAACTAGAGGAGCAGCAGCAATGGTGAGGGACACAGTTTGAAAACCATCTAGAGGGCAGCCACTTTGACCCTGCTGTGTTGGCTCTAGGGGTGCAGGAGAGAAAGGATCTGGAAATAAAGACTTCATGTGTCTTTACATTATTTACATTGTGTATTTACATTATTATATATGTAATATATTCTGTATACATTATAGATAGTAGGTAACATTTAATAGTGTTTACAATCATATAAATATATTAGATATTATTTTATTTATGATAATGTTGGCATTACATGATATTATATAAAGGCTTTATATACTGTAACCCTCTCAGTCCCTTTGAAAGTAGTTACCACTGTCATCATCATTTCATGCATGTAGAAACTGAGGCTCCTGCTGGGTGCGGTGGCTCATGCCTGTAATCCCAGCACTTTGGGAGGCC